TTCTAAATTAATCTTATAATTTTTCCATTAAAAATATGTTTGAAGATTTATTTTCTTTTATGTGTATGCCTACTTGTACATATATGCACCATGTGTGTGCAATGCTCAAAGAGGCCAAGAGAGGGCACTAGGTCCACCAGAACTAGAGACACAGACCATGGTGAGCTGCCAATGGGAATGCTGGACACTGAACCTTGGTCCTTGAATGAGTGGCAAGTGGAGCTGTCTTTCCAGTCCCTAAAAGATGGTTTTTATGGCACTTTCCTTCATTTGCTTCCTAACCTTTTTTTCTCTCATAGGCAATACCATCAACCATTTCCTAACATAAAGCCAGTATTTGCCAATTTTTATTATTAAATATGTACTCAGAAAACCATCTCTTTCATTACACAATTTTCTGATATCCAATCCTCTTAAACAAATGTAATTGTCAGACATATGGGTTTCTTATGTTCAATGTGGCTGATGCACCAGGCAGTTCCAGAAGTCCTGGAAGGGTCCTCTCTTTTAGTAGGGCCATACACAGTGACTTCAGTAGTCACAGTATGTTTTGATTGTCTGGGATAATTCTTTCCACGTTCAAAGTGCCTTTACAGGGTTCCTAAAATAGCTGCAAACTCTGGTCCTATTATTCTTTTCAAAACTAATGGACAGCCTTAAATTTTCAGTAACAATTATAGAAACTAAAAATGGAGTCTCAAGAGATGACTCAGTGGTTAGGAGCACAGGCTGCTCTTCCAGAGGACCCAGATTCAATTCTCAGCATCCACAGGAAAGGTTCACAGCTGTCCACTAACTCCAGTTCCGTGAAATCCAACACCCTCTTCTGGATGCCTCAGGTACTGCACACATGTGGTGCACAGGCATACATGTGGACAAAACACCCATATACGTAAAATAAATATAAGTTATAATTGTCGAAACATTAAAACTAAAAATGGTCTGCTCTTATCATATTTCTTTTTTACTCCAAGATTCATAGTCAGCTGCCTTCAAAGAAGCCCTGAATCTTTCACTAAAGAATATAAGGAAGCAAGACATAGTCGCATATGGCTGTAATCCTAGCACTAGAAAGGCTGAGATAGGATTGCTAGTTCAAAACCAGCCTGGGACATACATAAAAATCATCCTGTTTCAAAAGTAGGGGCCAGGAAAGGACACAGTCAGAAAGACGAAAAGGCAGCCCACAGAATGGGAAAAAATATTCACTAACCCCACATTTGACAGAGGGTTGATCTCCAAAATTTATAAAGAACTCAAGAAACAAGTCCCCAAAACACCAAAGGATCCAATTAAAAAGTGGGCTACAGAACTAAATAGATAATTTTCAATAGAGGAGTCTAAACTGGCTGAGAGGCACTTGAGAAAGTGCTCAACATCCTTAGCCATCCGGGAAATGCAAATCAAAACAACTCTGAGATACCATCTCACTCCTGTCAGAATGTCTAAAATCAAAAACACCAACGACAATTTATGCTGAAGAGGATGTGGTAAAAAGGGGAACACTCCTCCATTGCTGGTGGGAGTGCCAACTGGTTCAGCCACTTTGGAAATCAGTATGGCGATTCCTCAGAAAAATGGGAATAAACCTACCACAAGACCCAGCAACTACACTCTTAGGCATATATCCAAAAGATGCCCATTCATACAACAAGGATGTCTGTTCCACTATGTTCATAGCAGCATTATTTGTAATAGCCAGAACTTGGAAGCAACCTAGATGCCCCTCAACCAAAGAGTGGATAGAGAAAATGTGGTACATTTACACAATGGAGTACTATTCAGCAGAAAAAAAAAACAATGGAATCATGAGATTTGCAGGCAAATGGATGACACTAGAAGAAACCATCCTGAGTGAGGTAACACAGTCACAAAAAGAGAAACATGGCATGTACTTTCAAATAAATGGATTTTAGACATAGATCTGGAGAGTGCCAGCCTACAATCCCATGGCCGGAGAGTCTGGGAAACAGAACCTTCATTCAGTGGCTGATGGAAGAAGAGGCAGACTCCCATGGCTAAGCACTGAGCTGAACTCAAGAAATCCAGTGACAGAGAGGGAAGACTGATGACCAAAGGCATTAAGACTGGGCTGGTTTAACCCCCAGAAACAGCTGACCTGACAAGGATTAACTCTTGAATCCCAGGCTGATGCCTGGGAATCCAGCATGGGACTGATCAAGACCCCCTGAATGTGGGTGTCAGTGAAGAGGCCTAGATAATCTACTGAGCCTTGGGCAGTAGATCAGTATTTATCCCGAGTATACAAATGGACTTTGGACTCCCACCGAACAATGAGAGATACACTCTCACCCTGAACTCTTGGGGGAGGGTCCAGGCCCTGTTCTGGATGAAATGACAGACTATGGACACCCCCAAGGAGGACCTCACCCTCCCTGGGGAAATGAGGGGATATTGGGGGACTTGGGGAGAGGGCACAGGAGGAGGGGAGGGAAATGGAGAGGGACCTGGAACTGACTTGTGAAGCAACCTTGTTTCTAATCTAAATCTAAGCTTAAAAATAAATAATTAAAAATTTTTAAAGAGAGTTCTTAAAAAGTAAATAAATAATAAATAAAGTAGGGGCCAGGAAGATGGCTCAGTGTGTAAGAGCACTTGCTGTATCTAATATGAAGACCTGAGTGGCCACAAAAAGCCAAGTATAAACACATACACATATACCACAACACACACTGTACACCATACACAATACACAATTTTAATTGATTTTTCTTTTAATAATAAATCCTGGAGATCATTTCACAGTAGTGTTTAAGATGCACAATACACAATTTTTTATAGGAGAAGGGAATGGTCTTTGGTATGGTCTATGCCCATGAAATGGATGGCATTGTTTCAATGGTATGTTTGTATCTTTGCTGTGTGTGCCACGGTGCACATATGAAAGTCAAGAGAGCCATTTTCAGAGCTCAGTTCTCTCCTTCCTGGGGTCCTGAGACTTGAGGTCAAGTTGGTGATGAGTAGCTTTATCCACTGAGCTGTCTCACCTGGCCCATTTCATTGGCGTTTGATCTAAGTGTCACAAAGGGGATCTCTTGGCCTTTGTGACATCATAGGGTCAGGCATGATGTCACAGAATCAGGCAATGATACCACAGGGTCAGCCTTTGGTTCTTACTTTAACCACAACTGTCCTCTGCCTGGCCAGGGCTGCTTCCATGTCAATGTGAATTCCCTTTTTGCTCTTTTTTCTTTACTCTGTGTGTATGGGTGCTTGCCTGCATGTATGTCTGTGCACCACGTGTATACCTTCATGGTGCCCACCAAGGCTAGAAGAGAACATCAGGTCTTCTGGGACTGAGTTACAGATGGTTGTGAGTCACCTTGCAGGTGCCTCAAGTCAAGCCCAGGGCCTCTGGAAGAGCAGCCTGTACTCTTAAATGCTAAGCCATTGCTCAACTGTATCCCTCCGCACCTTGACCTCCAATCCCATCCTAAAGAGAATGATGGGCCATGCAATATGTTCTCAAACCAAACAACTCATTTCAAGCATGTTGGCCAGAGTGTTGGAATAGTAGTCATATGTTTTCTCTTTGTCCTTCAGCTCGGGATGGATGGCCTTCAGACCCAGTTTTAATGGTCCTCCCTGTCTATATTACTTGAATATAGCGCCAAAATGTTTCTTGTTAAAGGAACACATTATTCTTACCACAAAAGGAACACTGATAGAGACAGGATATATGTCATTATTGTTGTAAATAGATGCTGCATACATTTAACACTTGTGATAAAAGGAAAATGTAACACAATGTTTGAATATCCTGATGGTAATGATTATACTTTATCAAAATTAAAAATGCATATTAATAAAAATGCACACAACATTCATATCGCCAAAATTTCCACGCTTGCTCATGGGCACTCACACAGTGTGATGTGAAGTGCTTGCCCTCAGAAATGAGACCTTGAAATGATAGAACGAGATAGGTTCCTGTCTATGTCAGAGATGCAGATGAGAAAAAAGAAAAGGAGCATGTTATCCTGGGAAGTCTAAGCCTCAAGAAAGAAGGAAGAGGTGGGAGGGTGTCAGGAAGGATTTGTGTAAATGACAACATTTCTTTGGAGAAAGAGAACTATTCAACCAGGAAACCTGAATGCATTTCACGCATGATGCCAGCCTACTGCTGCTTCTACAAGTGAAGTTTTAGCCACAAATGAATAATGCAGGATATACTAAAATACAATGTCTCTCCCAGTTCCTATTGGCCAGCACAGTTGTGTGGTGGTAGTAATGAGCCCTGAGTGGAGTGGGGTTCACCCTCCAGGAGACCTTCCTATACCAGCCTGGGTGGCTACATGCTGCACAAACATCTCCCCTCTCCCTCCTCCCCCATCCACCTTTCCCCTCCACCCTCCCTATCCAGGGACCACCTCCAAGGACAAGATAAATTATATCAGATGAACAGTAGCTCAATTAGAATATACATCTAGTGTGTGCAAACTCTTGCGTCCAGTCCCCGGCACTGCATTAAGCAGGAGCAGTGGGGCACACTTGAAATCACAGCAATCAGAAGGTGGAGGCAGGAGGTTCAGAAATTCAAGGCCAGCCTCTACTACTTAACAAGTGTGAGGTCAGCCCAGGACACATGAGACCGTATCTGGGGATTAGGAGGGGGGGGGAGAAAGAGAGACGGAGTGGGGGGAGCTAAAAATGAATTCTACTAAAACATATTGAATACAAGGAACAAGACTTCTATACACACATGTGTGCACACATCTGTGTGTGAGTATGGGTCTGTATGTTCAACAGGCATATGTGGAGGACAGACTACAACATCCAGTCTCAATCCCTGCAGAACTACTGTATTCCTGATTTTCCGTTGAGTTAGTAAAGACAAGAGATTCACATAAGAATTATATCCTTGAATCCATCTTTGTGCCCCAAGGGAAAAAATTACTGAGTTTTGGGGTCAGCCTGGTCTCCATGAGACTTTGTTTTGTTTAGGTTTTTGTTTTTGTTGTTGTTGCTGTCATTTTGTTTTTCTTTTTTTTTTTTTTTTTTGGTTTTTTTGGTTTTTTTACTCAAGCTTTCTTTGAGAATTTGTCATGATGACTCACTATTCACAGACTTAATTCTCTCACTGCCTCTTGAAATAGAAAACCAAACACCCTAGCAAGTTGACTGAGGACTTCACAGGGGAGAAAAGGCCTGGGACACTGTCCTTCTCAGTCTGGCTGATTGGCTTAACATAGCGATTTCCAGTTCCACACATTTTTTAGCAAATATGATTTTCTTCTTTTAATCTTTTTACATTTATTTACTCTGTGTGTGTGTGAGCTTGTAGGGGGGTGTCCATGTGTGTGTGTATGTGTGTGTGTATGTGTGTCTGTGTGCTCACCCACAGACATATAACACAGCACATATGTGAAGGTCAGAAGAAAACTTGGAGGATTCATCTCTCCTTCCACTCTAAGGATCCTGGAGATGAAAATCAAATCATTAGCATTGGCAGTAGTCATTCTTACCCACTGAGATATCCTACCAGCCCCAATTTTGTTTCTCCTTATAGCTAAATAATATGTCACTATGTGTATACACCATATTTTTCATCCATTTGTCTGCTTCTATAACTTGGCTATTGTAGACATTAGCATAATAAACACTGTGTAGATATCTCTATTGTATCTAGCCTTGGATTCCTTTGCAGCCAGGCTGAAAAGTGGTATAGCTAGACCCTACAGTGTTCTATTTTTAGGTTTTTTAGGGCCCTTCATATCGGTTTCTCTGCTGTCTGCACCAGTTTGCATTCCCACCAGCACTATATAAGTGTTCCTTTCCCCCCTCATCCTCTCCAGCATCCATGTTTGTTTTCTCGATGACCACCATGCAGACTCAGCTGAAGGAGGATCTCAACATAGCTTGATTTGCATTTCCCTGGTGGCTAAAGGTGTGAAATTTTTCATGCATTTTTTGGCCACTTGCACGTCTTTTGAGAAGTGTCTGTGTGGTTCACTCACCAGCCAACTGAGTCCTGGAGGTTGTTCACACTCAGTCTCTCTCTGTACACGGTGCTGTTGGTTTGGTGCTTCCTAGATGTGAAAGCCAAGTCAGGATCAGTGGCCCTGCTGTTCGCTGAGGCACATTCCTGTGTCATATGGAGAGAAGCAGAAGGTAGGGACTGCTTCAGAATATGAACCAGGACCACAATTGTGAAAGCAAAGACTAAAGGAAGAGCCTGACCCACGGCATGGCTTTGCAAGAGCCAAGCAGAACTATGATCAAAAGCTGCTTGATACAGGAACAACCTGTTTTGGGAAAAATATGGAATGACACCAGATTCATCACCATGCTCAGCCATGGATGAGAAGCAGCCTGGGGATACCTGGTCCAGCATGAGTGAGGAGTCAGGGCAGCTGGTGCTGTCAGCCAAGCATGCTCTCAACAGTTGGTTCTTTTATGTAGGTCTTAGCAGGATTCTTCCAGAGTCCCTCTATCATCACAGAAGACATATGTGAAAATGTCATGGAAACTCTGGAGCAAATGCTGTCCTTTGCTTTGACATCTCAAACATGACAAGAGAATAATAAAAATTTGTAAAATATATTAGCTGAGCTGCTTTCTTAAATGGACTATGCAGAACATAATTTAGCATTTGATAGCTTCTTCAGTGCCTCTGTTGTAGGATTAATTATGAGACCCAGGGCTTCAATGATAATGCCCTCCAGGACTTTGTCATGTGTGTCAAATCTTCTGTCAAATAATGTAAATCTAACAAAGCTGTTGGAAACATTTTAGTCATTTTGTAGTTTTGTGACCACCACCCGCTACATTATCAGAAGACCACCTACCATTGATTTCTACCATTAACTACTCCTACCTCTACAAAAGAGTTTATTTTTAAAAATCATTATTGACTTAACAAGCAGAAAGAATGGCATGAATGAATGATTTCTGTACAACCACACAATTACTGCCATAATGATTCACTGATAGTCCACCCACATCCCTCAACTATAAGATTAGAATAAATTCCTAGACATCATGCTAATTCATCTTCAAATATTTCAGTTTGTCTTTTCTTAAAATTAACATCATGACTAGAAAGGAACCATGTTATGGAATATTATTTTAACTGGGAAAAGATGTGTTACATTTGTTTATGCTGCAGAATGTTACTTTAACTGTGTAAAAGTGTCTTACTTTTCTCTATGATACATTTATTTAATTATGTAAAGATGTGTTGCATTTGTTTCACCTTGACTGCCTAAGGCATTTTATTGGTCTAATAAAAGGCTGAATGGCCAATAGGAGGAAAAGGGTAGGCAGGGCTGGTGAGCAGAGAAAATAAATAGGAGGAGAAGTCTAGGTTAGAGAGGAGGAAACAGAAGGAGGAGGAGGAGAGAACAAGAGCGATTCCCTGGGGCAAGAAGCCAGGCAGACACCAGACAGAGAGACATACAGAAACAGTAAAAGTAAGCTATACAAAAAGAAGAAAGGTAAGAAGCCCCAAAGCAAAAGGCAGATAAAGAGAAACAGGTTAAGTTAAAAGAGCTAGCGAGAAATGTGCCTAAGCTAGGCCAAGCATTCAAAATTAATAACAAATCTCTGTGTCATGATTTGGGAGCTGGTTGGTAGCCTAAAAGAAAAAAGCCTGGTACAGCACTACAATGATATCATCAAGTATTTGCAATCATTCACTATCAAATATCCAGTCAATATCCCCTTTTGTTCAGTAGGTTCATAAACTATACATTTGCTTTCTCAACAAGGAGCTGAATCGCCCTTATATTCCAAGTCTATTGTGTAGCACTTTCCTCCTGTTTTAAAACCCTCTGACTTAGAGTGAAACTCATATGACGGGGATATTAGAAAGGAAGTAAAACAATACAGTGTTTTAAGTGGAGTTGAAACATCTACTCTGCAGGGAAGTTCTTCAAGCTCAGGAAGTGAATGGCTCAAAGGCTTCAGGAAGTCCCTGAAACAGACCAGATTCACTAAGCCCCTCCCTTTCTCTCCAAGCATATATAAGCAGGAAAGACTGATGAAAGACACTCTCAGAGAAGTCCAGCTGTCTACAATAAGTAGAGACTAGCTAGGCATCTGGAAGAAGCTCTGACCAACAGAGCTACCTGGAAAGGACACTTTCCAAACCACTGAGCTACCTGGAGGCTGTGCAGTCCACTCCAGTATTGGTTACTCATGCCAATCTACCATAGGATCCAGCTCTCTGACGACTGAGTGTAGCCCAGAAAATGAAATCAGCATTTCATAGAGACACCTTCATATCCATATTGCTGCAACACTGTGCATGATAAAACAGATATGGAACCAACTCCCATCAGGAGATAAAGGGAAAAAGAAATGCAATATTGAGACACAACAGAACACTATTTGTCCATCAAAAAGAATGCATCCTACAACTTGCTGTAAAGTAAATGGGGTTGGAGGGCATTGTGCTAAGTGAAAAAAAAAAGACAAGAAAGACATATAGTACATGTTCCATCTATATGTGGGTGCTTTCTGTTAAAAGGTCAGTCTGAATGTAGACTATTAACTGGAGTGTTGGAGGAGGAATGTAGAGGAAGACTAGATAACAAGTACAAAAGCACAGCGAGAAGGACAGTAAGATGACTCAGTCGAGAAACGCGCCAGCTGCCAAGCCTAACACATCAGTTTGATCACCAGGACCCTGTGTGGTAGAAAAAGGGAACTGACTGCAGCAGGTTGTCCCCTGACCTCCACACACATGCCATCACACATGTATACTTACACACATACACACTAAATAAAAATAAATAAAGCACATCTAGATAGGAGTAATAGCAAAATAAGGTGAGCACACTTCCTGGAAACTTGCTATATATTATGCATAGCTAGAATAAAAGAATTCTCAAATGCTTCAAAACTAAAAACATATAAAAATGTTAATTTTTCTGACCGGATCAGTCCACATATATACTGAAATGTCATACTGTAGTTCATACATATATAAAATGACCACATTGATTAAAACAGTTTTCAGTGCTTAAGGAGACAGAAATGTTCATGACTCCAACTTAATCATTATGTTCTCTATCCAGGTACAAAATGATCACTCTGAGCAAACCGGAGCCTGGTGATGCAGACATTTGCAGGTAGAATTGGATGGTGTTTAGAAATGATGTAGATGCAGAGTGGAGGCTGTGTGTGATCGTGGTAAAGGGGAAGAGGCATGCGTGATGACCTTTGGATTTCGGAATAGCCAGGACTGTGTCTGTCTTCTTCTACTCGGTTGTCAAGAAAACAACAGGAATAAATGAAGAAAACAAACTATCCTCCAGTGAAGCTCAAAGGGAAGAGGCAAGTGAAGACTGAGGGGGGCTATAGGCAGATGGGAAACGTTTGTTATGGACAGACAAGAACCATGGTTGGACACTAGGAACATGTGAAGAAACAAAGTCATAGGCAGAGCACTAAAGTGTGGGTCTGGGGAGATCCCTCAAAACTATGTGAAAGACTTTCTGATTCCTGAAGCCTTTCAAAGGTGGGGCCTAGTGGGAGGGTTTAGTTCCCTGGGAACAGGCCCCTGAAGGAGACTGTGGGACCCTGGACTCTGGTGCTCATCTGCATCCCAGGCATGAAATGAATGGTTTTGTTATGTGTTGTCACCAGCTGTGTCATCAACAGACCTAAAGCAATGTACCAGAACCTCCAAGACAGTGAGCAGAACTAAACCTTTCTTCCCTACATGCTGGTCTTCTCACCTATGCATTACAGTGACAGAAAGCTGACTGACTCCCAGAGCAGAGGGGAGGCTCTGGAAGAGCAGGCGAAGAGGGAAGAGAGCTGGGTCAAAAACATGGGCAATGGGATTTGGGTCACACGCACTCAGGAAACTGTTTCTTTTCCTGAGATGGGAATCAGTAAGGACGCTGATCCTCTCCGGTGTGACAAGCATCACAGGCAGCATCCGCATACTCTGCTCTCTAATCTTCACAAGACAATGTCTCTGACAATATTGATATCTACACTTTGCCCATGTACATGTTCTAAAATTCTTAATCACTCTTAACTTGAACAGTAACTGCCATGCCCCAATCTCTCATCTCCAAAACAAACAGTTAAGAAGTGTTAAGGTTTCCTCATGAAAAATGTTTCGTAAGTAAATAGACTGAAATATTTATGAGTAATGTATAAGGTCCACCATTTCTTGTGTGTCTGTGTGTACATGCATATGCATGCTTGCTGTGTGCACATGCATGTGTGTAGGCCAGAGGTCAACCTCAACTGCCATTCCTTCTGCACCATCCACCTTGTGTGCCTTTATTTGCCTTTCTTCCTCCCCTTCTTCCTTCCTTCCTTCCTTCCTCCCTTCTTCCTCCCTTCCATTTTTCCTTCCTCCCCTTCTTCCCTCCTTCCTCCCCTTCTTCCTTTCTTCCTCCCCTTCTTCCTTCCTTCCTTCCTTTCTTCCCTCCCTTCTTTCTTCCTTCCTCCCCTTCTTCATTCCTCCCCTTCTTCCTTTCTTCCTCCCCTTCTTCCTTACTTCCTTTTTCCTTTCTTTCTTTCTTCCTTTCTTCCCCTCTTTCTTTCTTCCTTCTTTTTTCCTTCCTTCCCTTCTTCCTTTCTTTCTTCCTTCCATCCTGCCTTCCTTCCTTCTTTCCATCCTTACTTCCTTTCTTCCTTCTTTCCTTCCTTCCCTTCTTCCTTTCTTTCTTTCCTCCATCCTGCCTTCCTTTCTTCCTTCTTTCCATCCTTATTTTCTTTCTTCCTTCTTTCCTTCCTTCCTTAGTTGAGACAGGGTCTATCAATGGCCTAGAGCTCACCAAGTGGGCCCTGACTGGTCAGTGAATGCCAGAGTCCCACCTGTGTCCCCGCTCCTGAACTGGGGCTATCAGCATGTATTACCATCCTGGCTCTTTCATGTGGATTCTGGAAACAGAACTAGAGTCCATGCTTGCAAGGCAACCACCTCATTGACTGGACTAAATCTCTAGACCCTGACATTTTCTTTTTAAAGTCAGTGAAACAGGACTGGACACCAGTTGAAGCTGCTTAATAGAACTTGAAAACTCAGCATCTACTGTCTCTATATTTGTATGGGTTAATGTTTTTCTCAACTAAACAGGTTGTTTTTGGTTTTTCGAGACAGGGTTTCTCTGTATTGTT